TCCAATCAGTATTTTTTGGAGATCACTCCACTTCAGTATATAAAGAGCTGACTCGCTTTTATTTATGGATCCATGATATGAAGACAACATATTAGACTTTGTTTTAATCTCAAGAGGCAAATGCTTCCCCACTCTCCTGTTTTATGTATTTATTTTAAAAGTTCCTCTTCTATGTAACTGAACTCAGATCTTCAGGTCTGGAGTGGATTTCCAGTGCTGGGGAACAAGTTGGTTCTTGCTGGAGAATAACCAGCAATAGGGTGATAGATACCGGGGTTGACACCACACGAGCTGCTGTCTGGCAGAGTCTCTGCCCAGCCTCAGTCTGACCTGCTACAAACTGTAGTCCTGACCTTCTACAGCGAAGTCTCCTCGGCTCATACTGTGGGATTGGGTTTACTGCTGTCTCCATCTGTGATTAAGAAGCATTTTGGGGATTATTCTGCCATATGCAGAACCCATATTTTCAGGAATCAATGAGGTTCAAGATCACAAGTCTTATGAGTTCAGGGAAACGATGTTGGGAAATACTGTAACTTTTGATGCCACTCAGAGCCATACATTTCATGATTTTTCAGTAATAGGGGTTATGGAATAATAAAATCTTTTAAAATAGTTTTTATTTTCTAGAACAGTTTAAGGTTTGCAGCAGAACTGAATGGACAGTGCAGAGAGTTCCCATATATCCCTTGCCTTCACATATGCACAGCCTCCCCCTCTAACAACATCCTCTACCAGAGTAGAAAATTTGATATAATCAATGAACCTACATTCGTACATCATAATCACCCAAAGTCTATAGTTTCTTTTATAAATTACTCTTGGTGTTGTATGTTCAGTGGGTTTGGACAAAGGTATACTGCAAAGTGTCCATCATTACCATGTCACACAGAATGGTTTCATTGCCCTAAAAATCCTCTGTGCTCCACCTGTTCGTGCTTCCCTCCTCTCTAACCCCTGACAATCATTGATCTTTTACTGTCTCCATAGTTTTGCCTTTTCCAGAATGCCATATATTTGGGATTATATAACACGCAACCTTTTCAGAGTGGCTTCTTTCACTTAGTCTTAAGTACTTCAGATTCTTTCATGTCTTTTCATGAGTAAATAACTCTTTCCTTTTTAGCATTGAATATTCCATTGTCTGGATGTGCCACAGTTTATTTATTCATTCACCTAATGAAGGACATCTTGGTTGCTTCCAGGTTTTGGCAATTATGAATTAAGCTGCTACAAACATCCATGTGCAGGTGTTTGTGTGGACTTAGGTTTTCAACACCTTCGAGTAAATACCAAGGAGAGTGATTGCTGGATTGTATGTTAAGAGTATATTTAGTTTTCTAAGAAACTGTCAAACTGTCTTCCAATGTAGCTGAACCATTTTGCATTCCCACCAGCAATAAATGAGAATTGGTATAATAGGATTCCAAAGCTGGAAATGACCTTAGAGGTCACCTGGTTTACCCTGCTATATTGCAAAGGAAAAACAGAAGCACAGAGCAGTTAAGCGTCTTGCTTGACAGTGAGTGGCAGAGGTATCTGTAATGACTAGAAAACTGATTATAGCATTTCCTACCCTGGCTGCTGGGTGTTATGCCACTAGGCAGCTTTTGTGGCTGAGGAAGAAAATACCAGACAGCCTCTCAACGTGAGCTCAGGGTACTTGTAGTGATTTTACCAATGACCACTGTAAGATAGTATCATTACAGTCAAAGGCTGGTTAGAATACTCTGCAACTTTGACAGATTCTGCTATTTGGTAAAATAAATAACATGGTGCCTCTTAATAAATGCTAACATAATGGAAACATCAAGAAAACAAATAAGCGTGCAACTCTGGTGGGTGAGCTGAAACATGCCTCCATCATGGCAGCCCACTCTGTACTAAAATTCTCATTTCACGTGTTTGACTTCTCCACCAGACTGGGAATGCCTCAGAGTCAAAGATGCTGGCTTATTCCTTCTATAGCCTTAGAGACTAGTTTGGTACATCTTTTGTTCTCATCAAATGTTTGTTGAGCTGAAACTTGGAAGCATCAAAATATAGCTCATTACTCTTCACAGAGTGTGAGGTGGCTGGCG